CTACATCTTGGTTGGCCTGAGGGTAAATACATTTCAATTTTCAATTCTGGGTGAATTATTCCTTTTAAAATGGAAATCAGTAGAGTTTTTAGAGGTTATATGAGGCTAGATAGGTACTTATTGCAAATGATCGTGAATTGTGACTTCAGTCGCCTGATTGAGAGCTACACAATCTCCCATTTATATATTTAAAGCGAGCTCTCACTACAAAGTGTGCAATCTGAAACCAATTTGGTCACTTGATCTTGTGCGACTAGCTCATAACCTGTGGTCAGTCCTACTATCAAAGACTCCCAGTTTTAATTCTTGCGAGGCCCGTCAGAGTGGTTCCACCCACTCAGAAACACTGCTAATGTGTCGAATTAGCTTCTGTAGCATGAACTCTTTTGAAAACAACACTTGGCTAGACTGACATTTCAAGTAAATATAATCTGGCTGACATTACAAATTCATGGAACTGCTTTTCAAATCTGCTATGGAATATAACTACACACTCTCCAAATGTGCTACTCTTGTTCTGATTGAATTTACCTGCTCTATTATTAATCTTAATTGCCCGACTGGCCTATTTAGCACTCAACACCTGATTTGAATAATTTACAGAACACAAACCAGACAGCAGACAGTTTCGGCCCAGATCCGGCCCACATCTGGCCCATGTGAAATCCATGCGGGCCCGATGTGGGCCGGATCTGGGCCAACACTATGTTGCTGTCTGGGAAGTCATAACCGGAGAGCATGGCTAAGATGTTGGTAGGTTATGTAAAGACTTTTAACCTTTAATGGTGAGAGCCTGGAGAACAGATTGTTTATGATTTTTTTTTTCAGCTCACTGTTTTGACAGGGCAGAAAATGTACATACGAGGATGTTTCAATAAATAAATGAACAAAAGGAAGATTCAAATAGGTATGGAAAAAATATGACGATAATTATGAATTAATCATGACGATACAATTCCCAGTGCCTTGCGCATTGGCATATTGACGCCAAGCATTTCTTATTTAAAACAATGCAGGACCCTGCACGTCGAAAAATGACGCTAAAGGGGTACACTGTGCGTCAAAAAGTGACGCCACAGGGTCCTGACCAAGCGTCAATACATGACGAGTTGGGAGTGATGATGTGTTGGTTATTTTGAACTTTCTATTCATTTCAATTCTCTGTGTGTATGTGCTGTACATGTGGAAGAATTGGTGTTTTATTCATAATTTATATTGAAACTGTTAACAATATGAATTAAAATGTAAAGCATATAAAATGTGAAGCATACATTTTGCAGCTTGTTTGCAGTTATAAAATATCGGACACATCTTAAGAGGTCTTTTTTTACTACAGTGCATGACTTAAACCTGGAACTGAACATCACTCCCAGCATGAGTCTGGCCCACAGGAGGAAGAAATAAGACGTGACACCAATATAACTGACAAAACAGATGCACACTCCATAATGCACCAGCAGGACACGGAAACCACCATTGCTTTTCTTTCCCAAGGCGTTAAGAAAGGCTTTAAATAACTCATTTGGACATATGGACGACATCACTGCTTTACTTGGGATGCTTTATGCATACTCCACATTGCATTACACGGATGCAGCACAATAAGAAATAAATAAAGAAAACCTCCTCTTGTCACTTACTTGCTCTCTCTTGTTGTTTCTTTATGTTAGCCAGGCCTGTGTCTCTGCCCACCTGTCTTCTGTGGGCACAGATTGGGGCAGCAGACGTCCATGCGGGTATTTAGATTTGTGCACAAAGCCTGGTGAACAGGAAGTTGGAGGGACTTGCATCAGGGCCCATCTGCTCTCTACAGCTGGCTGCCTGACAGCTGGAAATTGATTCTACTGAGATTGGTACCTGTGTCTCAGACTCAGCACTGCATACAGCCTGACCAGTGCATTAACGCAATTAATGTAGCCGGCAGTCTAAAAGCCAAAGATGGAGAGCGAGAAAGAGAGATGCCAATAAAGTCATGCCATCAACACTATCATGCCATCAACAGTAATGCTGATACAGCGCTTTGAATGGAGAGAAAGAGAGAAAGAAAATATATTGCTTTTTTCCATGAAGTTCATGCATCTTCTAAAACGCTTATTGTTTTAAAGGAGTCATATTATGCCCCTTTTTACAATATGTAATATACGTCTCTGGTGGCCCCAGAATGTGTCTGTGAAGTTTCAGCTCAAAATACTACACAGATCATTTATTATATAATTTTGAAAATGCCTATTTTGAGTGGAAGCAGAAACACGCCTGTATCTTTAAATGCAAATGAGCTGCTGCTCCCCGCCCCCTTTTCCAGAATAGAGCTGTGCCATTACAGCTCGTACCTGCTAAAAAACATCTGTTTTGGTTCTGATTATCATGTTTATTGCGCTGAGATCATGCGTTTTAAACCATATGAGTTTAAACTTCTGATATGTGGTTTTCTGAGTGCACACGAAAAAAATATTACATTTATTTATGTATTGATGTATAATGTGCTTTTATTAATGTATAGTGTTATTAATGTGTTAAAGTTTCCACAAATATTATTAAGAAGAGCGACTGTTTTTAACATTGATAATAATAATAATAATAAAGGTAGAAAAATAAGATATATTTAATATATCTAATAATAATAATAATAATTGAAATATGAAAATATAAAGCAATTTTTTTTTTTATTATTATTAATTTTGATCAAAGATGCAGCCTTGGTGAGCAAAAGAAAGATTAAGAAACTGAAAATATTTTAAATAGTAGTGAATATTATATATATATACAGTATATATATATA